GGGGGGGGGGGGGGGGGGGGGGGGGAAGCATGCAGGGTCTGCGATTCAAAGACATCTGCTACGTGCAGTCAGGCAGCTGGGTCGCCCTCATTTTTATCGCTCCTCATATTTCACAACTTTCAGTACCGTCAACGGACATCGGCAGGGAAACTCAGGCAAACGGAACAAGCATTGTTCTCTCTGCGTCCTGAAACCCCTAAAAAAGCAGCGAGAAGCGACTGGACGACGCGCTCGTGATATCACTTCCTTGGTCATGTGCTTCACGGATCCCAAGGAGCGTGAAATCAGAAATTCTATTGCAAGCCGAGTGACAAAGGTAACTGATAAAGCACAATAAAATAATGACATAAAGGTCACTGGCTCTTCCTGGAAGTGATGTTTAATGGAAATTTAACAAGTCCTTTCAAATATATGAAAAAATATTTCAATCTCTGCTTACTATACGTAAATCACATTGCCTATAGAGGCGTTTGAGGTTAATACCCCACCCGCTCCCATGATATCCCCCATGAAGTCTTAAGACGGCTAAATCTCACAGGCCGGCTTGAAATGTCCAGCTGTGGCATCTTCACGAAGCTGTGTGGTGTGGTTCTCATTACTGCGATAGCCTTATCTCGTGGCTTATCACTCTGCACAAAGGGAGGTAGCCGTGCTGTCTGTGATTCAGGCCAGCCCCATGTCGGAGCAGCTCCGTTATGGCAGGCGAGACCGCACACCCCACTCATGACGGGGAGCCGGGGTGGACGAGGCGCAAGTCCTTTACCCAGTTTCAAAAAACCGTCTGTAGTTTCTCACTCCTGTTTTTATTCCCTGACTGCACAGCTCTGCTGTCCAATCCCTGCATCGGCCACAGTAAACAACGTCCCTGCCAAGACCTCCGAATGAGCTGTCTCTTCCTGACATCTGCATTCCTGGGACGAGGGACCAGGACCGGGACCTGGCTTTAGAATGGGGGGAGGGGTTCGCGAGAGACGACCATAGGGCTTGGGTTCTCCTGGTTCACAAGATGCTGCACACACGCACACCACACAACGCGGGGTCTGGTAAGCAGGCTCGGAGCCTTGGGGAAATGCCTGGGAGGAAGCCGGTGGTGGGCGGAGCCTGGGAGAGGGCAACCGGGTCAGGTTGGTTTGATGAGATAAAGACAGGCATATTTGTTTTCCCTTGGCGAAGCCCCATTGTTTCCACTCCACCCAGAATCTGATCCAATGGCTGGGTGGGACACTGAACAGAGCCATCCAATCAAAGGTGGCCTGTGTGGCCGAGTGGAGGAAGTGGCTGTCAGTGAGCTCCTGGCCACGTTAGACGTGTGCATATATGTGAGCCAAGCCTGTCACTAATACATGCCTTTCTCCATATCACACATATCATTTTACATTCACTGTTTACTTTATAGTCATGATCCAACTTTCAAGGTCAGAAGTATTTAGCTACTTTACGAATGCATTAGTGACTTTAATAAGCTTGGAACTATCCTGATATGGTTAAGTACCTGTCTGAGCAGTTCATCAGCATAGGCCTTCTTCCGTCTGGAACCGGCCCAGCTAAAGTCCGGTTTATAAACCCCAAATCTACCTGCCGCTCCCATATAAAGTCTGTTTGCTCAAAGTTGCTGTTTACCCTCACAATGGCCTCAAGTCTATAACGTCCATTTATTGCTACACCTGAATTGCTTTTAATAACTTATATAGGGAACAATAATGTAAAGTGAGATTGATTCATTCAGTTACAAAATTACTGAAATACAGTATGTATGTGCTTATTTATATTGTTGAAATATACTCCCAAAACACTTTAATTTCATTTTAAATTTAGCTTAATACATTACCTTTAAAAACCAACCCTTTCAGTGTTTATAGTAAATGCGTCTCGAGAGGGAAACCCAGGACGCATTTGCTATGTATGTAAACATTAGCACCTTTCATTTTTCATTTTTGTGCTTTGAATTTACGTTAATGTGTACTTACTATTACAAAATAGTGAATTGACTATTTTCTAATACTTATGTAACCATTAGCATTCCTGTCACGTATTGCCGAGGCATGGACCGGGGAAGCAGGGACGGGACACAAGGAATCGGGGAACACGGGGTTTAATCAAAAGGTAAAGACAACGGAACAGGTAGCAAACTCAAAATGACATTAATGACCAGACTCGGGAAATATACTTAAACGCAGACTTAAATACACAGGACTAATGACAGCAACTCGAAACAGCTGCTCACACGGGGATTCCACACCAGGTAGATGAGGGGGCGTGGCCCACGGGACGATTGGATGAGCAGGTCATGACAGTTCCAAAGGGAATAAATTTTGCGAATGGGATTCGCATCTTGTAAAGGTACAGTACAGTATGTACATAAAAAGGAATGTTTCCATAAGAAAGCCATGTTTTTAAGGGATTTTTTAAAAAACACGGTAGAATCTTCATTAACTAAATTTTTCTTAACAATTTTACACTTAAAAGCATGAAAACTTATACATTACTACGAAAATTAAACATAAACACTTCTGTAGGGTTTTTTGAGGATTTCGCAGATGTGCGAAAAAATCGCGGATACAAATAAGTTCAGTTCCAATTAAATTTTTGCAGATCTGTGAATTCGTGAATCACGAAGTGCGAATGCACGAGGGCTTACTGTATTGATTAGTGGTACCATCAATGTGGCCAGCTGAGTACTTTGACTCTTTTTGCTTGGTTGGCTGAGTCAAAATCTTGGTCTGGATTTTTACTTTCTGGACCTGAACTATCCACCTCTGAATGTGGCATTGGTACCGAATGTAAAGTGTAATTACTCTATCTGCTTTTATTGATATCTGATTTTCTTAGAGATGAATTAAAAGCTATTATTGCATATAAAAAAAGATCAGTGATTATCCATCCACCAATACCAGATCACGATATGTTTTCAGAAGCCCGGTGTCTCACTTCTGCAGACTCTGAAAGACTCCGTGTGCTGCTCTGGTTTCAATTCCTGATTGTTCTGTGTCTCTAATCCTAACTTCTCCCATGTTAAAGCAGCAGCTGCATTGTTCTGAGCCTGCCCGAAAAGGCCTCTGCTTTCCAGCTCCTGCCACGCCAAGGTCACAATTGCATTGCTCAGATAACTTGCTGTATACCTAAGGACTCAGCAAGAACACACACCATTGGCACTTTCCCTCCAGAATCACAAGTCACGGCCACTCACACGTCTGATCGGTCCTCCTGCTCTTGTGTGACTCGTGCCACACGGTCTTGCAGTCCTCCTGCAGCTTGAAGAAACGGCTCTTCTTCCAGGAGTTTGATCGCACCTTCAGGAGCTCTCCCCCCATCAGCAGGAAGCTGAGGTCCTCATCCCCCTCCATGCCTGCTCACAAAGAAAAAGTAAGTTGCAGTGCTTCATTCCAATTATTTCACTCTTACCTTAATAATATCGCAGTGTGGTCAATGAAGCTCACTATATTGAGACAGAGCACTAAAAGCATGATATAGTATGGGAACAAACATCTTGTTGAAGGCTAAACGTGCCTGTTTTTGTGATATCCCACTAAATATGAAAGTTGCAGTTCTTTGTCCTCCCTTTTGGCTACTAGAAGGCACAACAAGCACTACAAAATGACTATAGAGACACCCCTATGATCCATGGTAGGAGTTGATGCTCAAATAGCCTATTAGTGGCCTGGCAATCCGTTCGGACACCCTGACGTAAAATTGATGTCAGCACTCTGTGGGCCAATGCGAAATGCACTTGGGGGACGATTTAGTCTATAAACAAAAACAGGGAAGTGGCCACTCTCAATGGAAGTGGTAACCTTTGCTTGTGCTGCTGGGAATTCTGGGAGCAGTGGCAGCAGCAGAAGTAAATAAATGAGCTTAGAGATTAAAGGAAGACAAGGGACTTGGAGGGTTAGCAGTGTAAAGCTCTGTCACCCCTCATCTCTGTGACAGAAACGGCACCTCAGGAGGTCCGTGGTGACCAGCATTTGGCATCGCCATGCGAGGTCGCCCCACCCGAAAGGAGGCAGACATTTTACAAGGCTCTGCCATGACTTTTGTATTACTGATTTTTGTGTCCTTGGAAGCCCTTTTGTTTGGGCGGGCTTCAAAATCTTACGAGAAAGTATTCAAGACCAATGTTTGCTTGATACTGTTCTCTGGGGCATGTCGTCTTGGAAAAAAACAGGAGTCCTATTCAAATTTATTGTGGGTCTACGAGGAATGCTTGTAATTGATGTGCTGGTCATCCAGAGGGTTCCTTGCTGTGAAACCGTGCCCCTAGCTAGCCTGCAGTGGTCTTCCCTAGGGAAGAACTCCCAGCCTTACAGTCCCAGGCAAACAACATGCAAATGAAATGCTCTTTGATGCAGTCATGCGGTCATGAAAAATGGCACATTCCATCCTACACTGCCTAGGGATAGATCATCAACGCCCGAGACGGTCCAGGTGGAGACTGCCTTTCTCTCCATGTAAAACCACAGCCACAGAGCCTCCTTGTCGCATTACATACCGTCCTCTGCAAGCCGCCGGTGGTCACAAACACCTGCTAAATTATTAATAAAAAAAACAAATCCACTAATACCGTATTCTAAATGCACAAGCTCTGTGGCGCCCTTATCCTTGAAAGAGGAGAAACTGCTTCATCAGCTAAGTTTCCTCGCACACAGAAAGTGTGAGGGCACTGACAGGACCGGCTGCTTTAAGTAGGTGGGATAGAGACATGAAACACCAGGAGGGAGCGCGCAGGCCCGCACGCAAACACACACCCTCCGGTCGTGGACAAATCGAAGCATCGGCTTCCCCGGGTGTTATCGGTAACACAAAACGATCGAGACGTGCTACAGCCACCGTTACTCATAAGAGAGTCACAATAACCCTCAGGCAACAGAAAATAAATGCAGCTGTACGGTCTTACGACACGGAAACCCCTGCACTAAAGCAGATAGATGGCTTCCCCCCTTCTCGTTGTGGGCTTAGTCCCGCTGAGTTCATCGGGCGGGGGGAGTTCATAATTTAGGTCACTGAAGCCGTATATTTGTAATGTGTTGAAATACCTTAGCTGTACTGCACCTTTAATGAGATGCGGTTCATGCACAGTTTATGATGCTGCAAAATAAGTCCGTTTAAATGCCATTATTTTATTCTGAGGATAATATCCTGACAATCGTAAACATGCCCGATGTAGGCTATCTGCCTTCGGGGAAGAGGAAACCGCAGTAAGCTTTTAGTTCACGAAAGACACAAATGCATATTTGCTACGGTTTAAACATTTTGTTTTGTGACTTTGGTTAGCGTTTATAGTGTGCCACAAAACCTGTTTTTTAAAACGAGGCATAGCAGGGAAACAGGGAAAACGCCTGAAATCACAGAAAGCTTCCGCAAACATACTGAAAACATTACCATTATATACTATAAGAGTGGCCCGTATTCATGATTGTTTCCCCAAAACAAACACTACTGTAGGTACGCTTCTCCAGTTTCCCTGCTCAACCAGTTTACTTTCAACTGTGTAGTTTGAACAAATATTTATGGAGTAACTATTAAGAGCCACATTTATACGTGCGTCCCCATCTGGGGCATATAGAGGCGCACATGCGGCATTTTATTCGGAGTTTTATTTCCAATTAATTGTTTGTATCCTTATTTTTAATATGGGGTGTCTGCTCGCTTCCCGGGAAGTTGAATTTGTTTCCTCGTAAACATGTAATCATCAGCAGTAAAGTGCTGCATAAACCCCTGCTTTACGAGTTTTAGGCATTACAGTGTCAACACTGTCACATAAGATAATTGAAAATCCATGCATTTCCTAAGTACCGGACAAGCCGAGAGTTCGACAGAGACCCCCAAGTCTGCGCATGCTAACAACCCGGAAACTTCACAGTAACTTACCTATAAGTTTCCCATTTACAGTAGCGGCATTCTTGCTCTGCGCTTGATATATTAATTCCTCCGATTTGGTTCTTGTGGGCCGTTTTCGTATGCACTCCATTTCGAGATGAAACGCGAACTTACAGTAAATGGCCGCCTTTTCCTTTCTCAAATGAGTAAAAAGCGGCTACAGCGAGCTTTATTATTTAGGGGCGTGTACCTAACTGGCATTACACAGTGCACACCGTGCGAGGCGTGGGAGCGGCTGGAGCAGGGACTCCCACACACCGTTTGCAGTGTAGCGGTAACGGGCGATCGGTAATCTATCGAATGTGTGTCTGAGTTTGGCCTGACAGAACAACGTAATATTGTCGCAGATCTGCACCCAATCAGGTAGGCAGATCTGATAGGGGGGATCTAAGGGATGGTGACCTCCCCTGTCACCAGCCTACATCAAAATAATAAAAACAAAATCCAGATTTCATTTTGTAAGTGGAACCATAGAAGAGACAGAATGCGGCTTGGCCACCCCCAGAAATATATCTGCCCCCTGATGACCACCCCCATCAAGATTTTCTTCAGGCACCACCGTCTGATAGAGACTGTCATTGTAGGTTACATCTGCAGACGTACCCAAGACTGTTATAGCCTACTTAGACCGAGGTCTCGTTACTACATATTCCATGAAAGCCAGGTTTGGACAATGAAAATCATTACTTGTGCTCCAAGAAACCTAAGTAGTCATCTAGTTTACCGTCTCTACCCAAACTTACCAAGTTTTAAAAGTTATAACTTTAAAATCACAATCTTGCTTATAACCTGATCCCCTGAGGGCTTGTTTCTGTGAGGCAGCACACCAACTAATCCAATAAGTCTCGTGAAGGACCCGCCCAGGTAAGCGCTTTGTGATTCTGCCAATGGCTGACTTCACTATAATTTATTCGCTGGCTACTTTGTCTTGGCCGCTGCTGCAGTTGGAAATCTAACCTAGTCATATTCATTTACGATTGAAGGGGATGAGGAACCCCTCTACAGGCTGGTACCCTGCGAGGAGGAAGTTCTCCGCGGCAGATCACCATTGTCCATCGGCGTTCTCCAGTACCTAGTTAAACCTGTCGCCTACCCTGGTCGGATTTCCAAGGAACTTCTCACATTTATGTGCTTGTCTCACGGCAGGTTCCGCTGTTCCGGGCAATTCGGTTTCCCTATGTTTCCCCTGTCTATCAGGAAATAATGTTTCCCCTAATATTAAAGCAAAGAGGTACGTGAAATGTCTGAAAATCACTCAGGTACAGTATTACATGCGAATACAGTAGTTCGTCACGCATAATATAGTCTTATAAGCAATACTATACCGTTTTCATTAAGAAATATCTCTATCCAGCAATTAAATACTTTCATGTATTATCTGTAAAAACAAAAAACATCGAAAAGGCATGTGATGTTTTAAAATATATGACTTGTTTACCTCAAGAGCTTCGTAAAAAGACATTATAACAACAGCGAAACTGTGTACAAATCAGCGCGCGACAGGGGAAACATAGGGAAACCGAATTGCCCGGAACACCGCCAAGCCAGGGTACAGCTGAATACTTAACTAGTATAAACCAAGTTATAACTCTCTCATCAAGGGTGTGGAACTTTTGAAGTTTTACATTTTTTAATGAAACCAATCAAAAATAGCCCTCGTCCCATGTATAGTGCCCACTGTCTTGTGCCTTGTGCATCACAGAATGAAGTCCAGCCCCCCCCCCCCAATGACCCCTATAGTGGGTAAGTAATTATGGAAGAATGATGAATGGAAAATACTTTATTGCACATTCGTACTTCAGAAACAATTTAATCAAACAAGTATTTCATCGCGTCTTCCCACTCCAGTTCCGACTGAAGATATTTTGTATACACCATGCATTGCTCTAAACTATTTATTAAAAATTTAATACGAAGACACTTCCAATTTTCAATTTTGTTAATTTCAAGGTGAAGTGCGAGTCCATTTATCACATGGTGTTATCTGCTTGATTAAACTATACTATGCAGTGTTAATCAGTTAATTCATATTGCGGGACAACACCCATAAAACGAAGCTTGTGTTATAGTGTCCTCTGCTGGTTGAAATATTGTATGACACCGGGCTCAAACAGATTACTGGAGCCAAAACAAGTAGCAGAATTCCGTATTTACACTACTCGGATAATCAAACAGGCATTATGCTTCTTAAACCATTATCTAGTGTTATTTTCTCAGACAAAGCGACTGGGGCTAAATCTTTGTCACCTTTCGTTTAAAACCTTGCTGTTGAACCTCCCTATAATTAATGTGTATAAGTTCGTCTCCACCCTAGTGTATTAGCACTGTGCCAAGGGCACTGAGGCAAGCCTTTATTAAGCTTAATAACTTGTCTGTCATGGAGAAATCGACGTTCGGTGGCCAGTTTATTAGGTACACAGGTCTGCTTATTCTTATTTACACTGCATACCTGCTTATATCACACTCCATACCTGCTTGTATCACACTGCATACCTGCTTACATTACATTGCATACCTGCTTATATTACACTGCATACCTAACTTATTGCAATTTGTGCAATACAAATATAATTACTATAATGTGTGTAATACCTGTTTACAATGTGCTACTTTATCTCTTTTTCTTTGTCTTGTACTCTGCTTTTAATTTTATTTAGTCTACTTATAAACATAGTGTATTTTATATTCTCCATTACTGCTGTCTTCTCTCTGAGAGCTATCAAAGTCTTGCTGTATAACTACATATACAAAAAAGTCCTATCTTGTCTTATTTCATGTTATCTAATCTTCCAAACACAGAATCGCGTGGCTGCATATGAACGTATGCAGAATCACACCAAGTCCACATCTAGTGGTTCCAGCATCTGAACAACAGCCAGCCTCCTTGGACTATTGCACACTACAGGTTGTGGGGTTTAAAGAAAGTGATGTGATGAGCAAAGGAGTCGGTCAAAGCTAACAGGTAATGTAATGCTAAGTAATACCCTATAGAATAAAGTGGCCAATGGGTATGTATAGGAGACACTGAAACTATATGGCAAAGGTATCTAAATGTTAATTTCCTTATCCTGGAGATGTGGCAATATAGAGAGTAATCTTTTCATTAAAACCCTATTTTTTAAATTCTTGTTGCGTAATTAAATTGTTCTGACGCAATTAGTGTAATGTACGCTTGGTAAAGGAATCAGACGCGGTGTCTAAATAGACTTGTATCCCGACAAGCCGGCCTTAACTTGTAATATAATTCCATATGCAATTCAGGTACGCCATTTCTAAATCTGCTCTGAATAATGGCATTCATCATCTGTTTGCTCTGTAGATGACCTCAGACGAGACCACCTTTTTCTAATCTGCGGTTGGAATTGAGAAACACTGTGCAATGCCAAATTCGATTTATTTCGACACAAACCGATCCTTTACACACAAGTATGGTGGATGTCTGTTGTCGTAGGGAGTCAATTCATTCATGGAAACGATGTAAAACAAATTCTGACATCGGCACGACAATACTTTTGAAAGTGACACCAGATAATCCCGGTTTGCAGCCCCTGGGCGACACAATTAAATGCAGTTTGTAAATAAGTACTGTGCGTGTGTCAATGGTGTAGAAACCGAGGGGGACTGTTGCATTTAAATTACCCCCCCCCCATATCAAACTTTCGTCCATTTTGAAGTAATCTAGATAAATTCAGTGCCAAGAAAACTGAAGATGTACATGAATAAATCAAATTGTGTAAATGGTCTCTGTTTTTTAATTAAAAACGTCGATGAACAAAAAAGTGACAAATGAAAACGTAGACTACCAAAATCAGTATTAAAAATTAAAAATGTTCCCGTATATTTAAATTGATTAATGGGTAGGAGTGGCGGGACTGCTCAATACCTCCGGAGCTGTCCATGGTGTTTGCGCTTTGATTACTGGCATTTATAATCATCAGCATTTTGACAGACGTGTGAAATCAGACTGTACAATTAACTCATGCATCGTATCGTCTTTGACAGTTTGACGCTGGTTTCGGCTCACGGGACGCTTTCTTTCCTTTTAAAAGATCAATCTGAGTAGCCCTTAAGATCAGTATCGTGGCGCCTATTGTATTGATGGATGAGTTTCGATCAAATAACTATGCAGAGAAAAAAGGCAAAGTGCTCCACAGTTCACCGCTTTAACATCCGAAACCCTTATCATAAAACGATTAAACATCGAATATTTGCCTAATACTAAAGGGATAAATCAATACACCAGACGTTCAGTCTGAAAATACGAATTCAAACTTGTGCGCGGTAATTCACGCCTGTCATACATTTCATTTCTAACCAATATATTTTACACCAAAAATACCAAATAAACGAGTCTTCTAAACTGCACAGAAGAGCAATGAAAGACATACATAAAGTAGATCTCATAGCGTAATAACCTACGTAATTGGCAAAATTAAGTTTTAGGGTTTTCCACAATTAATAGTGCAGACCTAAAATGATAAATAAAATTTCGTCAGCAATATTTCCTCGACAGATATGAAAACCAATATTTAGCAAGCTGACAACTTTTTTTTTTTTTTTTTTTAAATCATACATGATCACCGTCGTAGTTGTTTTTCCGTAGCAAACTTGGATTTGGGACCGTGTTTTCCAAAGACACAAAGTCTTCTAAAAGTCATCTTACCGTCCTTTACAGCGATGCCATTTATTTCCATCTTTTCGACTTGTATCGGCTGTTCCCGCTGCGTTTCGTGCGCGAAAGTCTTACTCAAAATACTCTCTTGCAAGAAGACAAACTAAACGAAGAGTGTCGGGCCAAGGACATGCGACAGTAGCAAAGCAGAAAGACGCATGTGTGACTAGACGAGCTTGTGATGTATCTGCTCTTATGACGGTTTGCTGGAAAGCGCAAGTATCGTCAGCAGCTTCCACACCCACACCGACAGAGCGCCGCTCATTCAAGCGGCACCGCCTGTAAGTATGTGCACTGTAGAAGTATACATGCTCCTAGAAGTTTTAATTTAAAATCACTGAAATGCATAGACTGCTTGGAGTGATTACAGTATAGCTAGTGATTTCATTTGATTTTTTTTAGCATTCTGCTGCACAACAGGAGCAACTTTTGTATACATTATGTAATACTAGTGCAGTTTACACATGCATGGCTTTTTTAAGTTTATGTGTTAAGTTTACAGCCAAATTACTTTTAGGGTGGAGTGCGTGGGCTATTCCAGTCGTAGGCAATCACAAAGCCGCACCTCAAATTAATCGCAAAAACAA